CAAAAGGACCGCTCCAATCACGCGGTCGGATGCGTCCGTCTCCAGTCTCATGGGCTTCTCCGGATCCACATGCAGGAGTTGCTCTTCCGAGGCGAACGCCTTCTTCAGTTTTTCAAAGGATTGCTGCGCATCCTCCACGCGAATTTCTTTTTGCTACTAAGACAATCCGTTATGGGCGCTGTCAAGTGAGCAAAGTTCTTTATGAACTTCCTGTAGAAGTTGCTGAAGCCTAGGAACCTCTGTACATCCTTCCTGTTTTGGGGGGCTTTCCATTCCAGCACTGCCTTCACTTTGCCTGGATCCATGGCTAGTCCTTTGTCTGACAACCTGTACCCCAGGAACTCGACCTCCCTGGCGTGGAATTGGCATTTTTCCAGCTTGACCCACAACTGATGCTTCTTCAATCTCTGTAGCACCTCCCTGACTTCTCTGACGTGTTGATTTTCATTATCCGAATAGATTAAGACGTCATCCAAAAAGGCTACGCAATTCTTGTACAGCAGGGGCCCCAACACATGGTGCATGAAGGCTTGAAAGCAAGCGGACCCTGATTGTAATCCAAATGGCATGTCTAAGTACTCAAAAGCCCCCAGGGGGGTGAACATGGTCGTTTTCCATTCATCCCCTTCCCTTATCCTAATCAGATTGTATGCTCCCCTGAGGTCCAGCTTGGTAAAAATCTTCCCCTGCCTCACACGTGTCAAAATATCGTCAATCCTGGGCATTGGGAAAGTCACGGGTTCTGACACCAGGTTTAGGGCCCGGTAATCCACAACTAATCTGGGCTGATTAGTCTCTTTTTTGTCCACAAAGAACACTGGACTGCCCCCCACCGCCTTTGATTCCCTTATGAAACCTCTCTTCAGGTTCTTGTCAATAAACTGCCGCAACTTCTGCATCTCCCGGTCGGACATGGCATACAGCTTACCCACTGGCAACTGAGCCCCTGGAAGCAGGTTGATTTGGCAGTCAAAGGGCCTGGGAGGGGGCAGTCTGTCTGCCCCCATCTCGCTGAAGACCTCCTTCAAATCAGCATATTGTGGTGGCACCTCCCTTTTTTGCTCCAGGGCCAGCCCAGCCACCCTGGCCACAGTCATTCTTGGTTCCTTCCCTCCCAGTGTTCTAAGCAGTAAGCTGACCCAAAGGTGACTGACCGCTGATGCCATGACACCACTGGGTCATGTATTGCCAGCCAGCTCATTCCCTGTATTATTGGGGGTCCTGCCAGCATGGCCACGTGAAAGGCAATGGTTTCCGTGTGCCTGGAGACACTCATTCGCATTGGCGGTGTCTGGTGTGTCACTTCCCCTCCCAGGAGTTCCCTGCCATTGATGGTGGTCACCTGCAAGGGAAAATCTAGTGGCAACAGGTGGAGCTGGTGCTCCAGAGCGAAGTCTCTGCTGAAGAAATTACACGAGCTGCTAGAATCTAGCAGCCCCCCCACTTTGACGGGGTGCCCATTTGGGAGTTCTAGCACCACCTCTATGGCTATAGCTGCCTTGGGAGGGTCAGGCTGGGGCACTTCTATTGGTTGCTGGCCTGGCTGCTGCCCCTGCTCGTTGGCAGCCAGGCGTTGTCGTTTCTCTGCACCGGCTCTTCCTCCCCCTTCTCGTTGTGGCCTGCAGCCCCCATCATGCCTTGCCAGGCTTTTCGTTGAGGGCAGACCTTTGCAAAATGTCCCCGTCGCTGACAAAGGAAACACTTCTTGGTAGTTTTCCACTCCTTTTCCTGACCTTCACCAGCGTTTGAAACTTCGCACGCGCTCCATCAATTTCCATCAGCTCTGCCGCCTGGGAAGGCTCCCTCGGCATCTCCGGAATGCGGTTGTCATGGAAACGTTCTGCCCTTATCTCCCGCTTCTCCTGAGCCCGCGCTTCCTGGCGTACACCGATCGCAAGCACAGTCTTTGTGAGTTCATCCATCGACCGCGGGCGGGGCGCTCGGGACAACTCGTCTTTCACTTCGGGGGCCAAACCACCTTCAAACAACATTTGTACTGGTTCAGAGTCCAGATCCCACCCAAGCTTGTGGACTAACATCACAAAACGCGACCAGTAGTTTCTGACGGACAGGCTCCCCTGCTTGCACCCCATCAGCTCCCTCTGTGTCACGCTTTGCTCCACCCCGCTGGAGAACATCGCGTCCATTCCCTGGTAGAATTTCTTAAGATCTTTCAATGCATCATTCTGCGTCGCCATTAGGGACCTGATCCATTCGCGCGCCCCATCCTACAGATGTCCCACAATGTTCGGAAGGAATTGTAGTCTTGGGGCTTTCCACCAAACTTGTGTACCAGCCCCAGGACCTTCCTCCCTATCGGGGTGGCTCTGACCTGTGCATCCTGAGCCCGTCTCTCCTCCAGCCGCACAGACAAGGTAGCGACATGCGCCTCCAGGTCTCGGTTCCTCTCGACCAGACCTCGCACCATGGCTTCTTGCTCTGTCTCTCCGGCCGGCCCTGTTTGGCTCATCGTGCTGCCTCTCCGGGGCTACGCACAAGCAACGTCAGAGACTGATGGATTGCTGTAATGGTTTTAGGGGTTGCTCGTGCGTAAACCGGTGCAAACACCTGGCTGGGTTGCCTGAGTGAACCTTTTCTGTCCGGACAGCCACTCACCCGTGGCTGTCTCAATCGCTGGCAGAATCCGTCAGTGGGCGTTTCTTAAACTTCTTCCAGCAAAGAAGCTCTTTGACGCCTAGTCTCCTCCTACTCTCTCAGCGCGAAAGCCTTCTGTGCAAGGAGGGCGTAGGCAGCAGAGGACCCCTACTCTTCCCGCTGGTCCCCGGCAAGGAATCATGGGACCGCCTCGCCGCTTCCCCCATCTGCCCCCCTTCTCCACTGGTGCTATGCTGATTCTCTTCCCCAGAAGATGGGCTGCCTCTCCCAATCCCAGGACGCTCTCTGGAATCCCTCTGGATTTTGCTCTATCCCTCCGGCACTGATGGCAGTTCCCTGACAAGGGTCTTTTGAGCTTTATTTACAATCAATTCATTTCTCAGTAAATCATCATTCATCTGCCATCTAAAAGTACCCTGTAAAGACAATTTTAACTCTGTCAACACAGCATTATGATCAGAACAAGGCCTTGGGCAAATCTCAGATTTAGTGACTCTTGGGGTAAGGCCTTTAGTTAGCCATATATAATCCAAACGTAAAAGGTACTCACAATACAGTCCTTAAATGCTTTTGATGTTGGAAGAATTGACCGCTAATGCCTCACAGTCTCGCAGCTTCGTATAATCAAAGGAAGTGTTTTGTCCGATGTGTCGCAGCTCCAACCCCCTCGCTCTCGGAGCTCAAAAACAGAACTTGCCAGGGAGGGGGGAGCCCACTTTTGGACACCTGCCGGATTCCACATCCTCAAAATGCTCAATTTGAGGTTTTTCCTCGGGGTCTGCTGTGCTGGAGCAGTTTCCCCTGCCTTTGATATACCGCGGTCTCCTCTGATAAAGAGATCTCCGACTGTGATGGCGAGCGATTGACCGGAAGCCCTTCATGAAGCAAAGCTTTCTGCCGGCTGCTTTGAGGCAAATGTGCATCCCAGAAACACACACTGTGATTCGTGGTGTATTGCCATATCCATTGTTTTCCAAAGGTTATCACAATGTAGTCTAGAAACTGGTATAGGATGAGATCAATATATGCCCAGACCTAATCCTCACTCACCACCAGAAATACAGATTCACCCTCTCCCCCTCACTATCAAAAGGTACCTTACATCTAAAATTATACTCATTATTATTATTATTATGATTTAAATAATATTTATTAAAGTTTCAAAAAATACAAAAAATACAGAATACAAAAAGAAAAAGAATAAAGTTTTTTTTAAAAAAAATATATAACCAAAAAAAGTAAAAAGAAAATAAAAAGAAACATACCAAATAAACAGTTAAAAAGACATTAATTTTCCATAACCTATCTTCCCTATACTTATTTCCCCGGACCTCCTCATACCTCCCTTTTTTGTATTCCAGTTCAATTTGTTAGTTCAGCAAATCCTTACCATTAAAATTACCCAGTTGCAAACCTTTTTTCATATCTCTTAAAGTATTACAGCTAAAAACCTCTTAGTTTCTATCCAACATCCTTCTAAAATTCCTTAATTTTACAATATTTCTGTAAATAGTCTTTAAATTTCTTCCAGTCTTCTTTCATAATTATATAATAATTATGAGTATAATAATTATACTCATTATTGTGGGACGTTACCTTCATTATTTCATTACTATATAGGTTTTACATATAAACATCAGAACATTATTTCATTACTATACAGTTTAACATATAAACACCAGAACAAATACATGACACGCTTTGAAGATGGATTTTCTGCTGAGTTCATTGCTGTGAAGAAGAGTTAACTCTGAAAGGAACACGTTCCTCATACATCTCCATACATCTAAATGGGTTCTCCCCTCTGAGAAGAAGAAGAGTTTGGATTTGATATTCTGCTTTATCACTACCCGAAGGAGTCTCAAGTGGCTAACATTCTCCTTTCCTTTCCTCCCCCACAACAAACATTCTGTGAGGTGAGTGGGGCTGAGAGACTTCAAAGAAGTGTGACTAGCCCAAGGTCACCAGCAGCTGCATGTGGAGGAGCAGAGACGCAAACAGGGTTCCCCAGATTACGAATCTACCACTCTTAACCACTACACCACACTGGCTCTTAGATGTTCCTTAAACACTCCATTATAACTAAAGCACTTTCTGCAATCTTTCCCTTTAAACAGCTTCTCCTCTTTGAAGGTTGATGGGTTTGTAGGGTGTCAACTGTTAAAGTTCTTCCTGTCCATGAGTCTGTAGATGTAGGACTTCCACTAGGACTGAACCTCTGTCTACTTTCCTGACATTTATATGGTTTGCCTCATGTGTGAGTTTGTTGACGTAAATCAAGGGTTCCACTCTAACTGAAGCTCCTTCCACACGCCATACATTTAAACTATTTCTTTCCTGTATGTCTCCTGACGTTTTCTAAGATTTCCACTCTGACTGAAGCTTTAAATGGTTTCCCCCCCGCCTTTGTGAGTCCGTTGATGTGTTTTAAGGGTAGATGTGTAACTGAAGCTCTTTCCGCACTCCATGCATTCAAATGGTTTCCCCTTGCCTGTGTGAGTCCGTTGATGTGATCTAAGGATTGAATTGCAACTGAACCTCTTTCCACACTCCATACATTTAAATGGTTTCTCCCCTGTATGTGTCTGTTGATGTATTCTAAGGTGGCCAATCCGAATGAAGCTCTTTCCACACTCCATACATTTAAATGGTTTCTCACCTGTGTGAGTTCGTTGATGTATTCTAAGGCTTCCACTATCACTAAAACTCTTTCCACACTCCATGCATTTAAATGGTTTCTCCCCTGTGTGAGTCAGTTGATGTTGTCTAAGGTTTGAATTGAAACTGAAGCTCTTTCCACACTCCATACATTTAAATGGTTTCTCTCCTGTGTGTGTCCGTTGATGTGATCTAAGGCCTGCATCGGAACTAAAGCTCTTTCCACACTCGATACATTCAAATGGTTTCTCTCCTGTGTGTGTCCGTTGATGTGATCTAAGGCCGGCATCATAACTAAAGCTCTTTCCACACTCCATACATTTAAATGGTTTCTCTCCTGTGTGTGTCCGTTGATGTGATCTAAGGCCTGCATCGGAACTAAAGCTCTTTCCACACTCGATACATTCAAATGGTTTCTCTCCTGTGTGTGTCCGTTGATGTGATCTAAGGCCTGCATCGGAACTAAAGCTCTTTCCACACTCGATACATTCAAATGGTTTCTCTCCTGTGTGTGTCCGTTGATGTGATCTAAGGCCGGCATCATAACTAAAGCTCTTTCCACACACCATGCATTTAAATGGTTTCTCTCCTGTGTGTGTCCGTTGATGTGATCTAAGGCCTGCATCGTGACTGAAACTCTTTCCACACTCCATACATTTAAATGGTTTTTCTCCTGTGTGAGTCCGTTGATGTGATCTAAGGCCTGCATTGTGACTGAAGCTCTTTCCACACTCCATACAAGTATATGGTTTCTCCCCTGTATGGGTCCGTTGATGTATTCTAAGGTTTCCAATCTGAATGAAGCTCTTTCCACACTCCGTGCATTTAAATGGTTTCTCTCCTGTGTGAGTCCGTTGATGTTGTCTAAGGTTTGAATTGAAACTGAAGCTCTTTCCACACTCCATACATTTAAATGGTTTCTCTCCTGTGTGAGTCTGTTGATGTATTCTAAGGGTTCTACTATCACTAAAGCTCTTTCCACACTCCATACATTCATATGGTTTCACCCCTGTGTGAGTCCGTTGATGTGATCTAAGGCCTGCATCGGAACTAAAGCTCTTTCCACACTCCATACATTCATATGGTTTCTCCCCTGTGTGAGTCCGTCGATGTATTCTAAGTGTATCTCTTCGACGGAAACTCTTTCCACACTCCACACATTTAAAAGGTTTCTCCCCTGAATGCGTCTTTTGATGATTTTTGAGGTTTCCATTCTGACTGAAGCTCAATCCACATTCCGTACATGTAAATAGTTTCTCCCCTGTGTGAGTCCGTTGATGTATTCTAAGTGTATCTCTTCGACGGAAACTCTTTCCACACTCCATACATTTATAAGGTTTCTCCCCTGTGTGAGTCTGTGCATGTAACTTAAGGTGTGCCCTCTGACTGAAGTTCTTCCCACAGTCCATACATTCATATGGTTTCTCCCCTGTGTGAGTCCGTTGATGTAATCTAAAGGTTGCATTGGAACTGAAGCTCTTTCCACACTGCACACATTTAAATGGTTTCTCCCCTGTGTGAGTTTGTTGATGTATTCTAAGGGTATCTCTTCGTCGGAAACTCTTCCCACACTCCATACATTCATATGGTTTCTCCCCTGTGTGAGTCCGTTGGTGTAATTTAAGTTGTCCACTCTGTCTGAAGCTCTTCCCACACTCCCTGCATTTGAATCCTTTCTTACCCATGGCAGTCCGCTGATGTGTTCTAGGTTTTTCACTATCAGTGAAACTCTTTCCACACTTCAAATCTTTAAAAGGTTTCTCTCCTGTGAATTTGTTGGTGTGAACTATGTGTGCTCATTCAATGAAGCATATTCCACATTTCGCACATTTCAATGTCTATTCCTATGAAATTAAAATGAAAGGTTCCCCGTCCCCCGGAATTCTGACGTTCTTCTGTATCACCTTCTTCAGAGTGGGCAGAGAGGAAGTCCTTTTTGTATTTCAAGGAAGAGAAGAAAGGGAAAAGAACAAATCAAACCAAACACAATTAGCCCCTTCTCTTATTTGAACATCTCCTACATTCCCCTGCCTCCTACCCATGTTCCTAATAATAATAATAATAATAATAATTTATTATTTATACTCCGCCATCTGGCTGGGCTTCCCCAGCCACTATGGGCGGCTTCCAGAAAAATATTAAAATACTGTAATACATCTAACATTAAAAGCTTCCCTAAACAGGGCTGCCTTCAGATATCTTCTAAAAGTCTGGTAGTTGTTGTTCTCTTTGACATCTGATGGGAGGGCATTCCACAGGGAGGGCGCCACCACCGAGAAGGCCCTCTGCCTGGTTCCCTGTAACTTGGATTCTCGCAGTGAGGGAACCGCCAGAAGGCCCTCGGTGCTGGACCTTAGTGTCCGGGTAGAACAATGGGGGTGGAGACGCTCTTTCAGATATACTGGACAGAGGCCATTTAGGGCTTTCAAGGTCAGCACCAACACTTTGAATTGTGCTCGGAAACGTACTGGGAGCCATGTAGGTCTTTCAAGACCTGTGTTATATGGTCTCGGCAGCCACTCCCAGTCCCCAGTCTAGCTGCTGCATTCTGGATTAGTTGTAGTTTCCGGGTCACCTTCAAAGGTAGCCCCACGTAGACTGCATTGCAGTAGTCCAAGCGGGAGATAACGAGAACATGCACCACTCTGGCAAGACAGTCCAGGAGGATGTTATGGTTGATGGTATCAAACGCCACTGAGAGATCCAGCAGAACTAGGAAACAGCTCTCACCTTTGTCCCTAGCCCGCCGGAGATCATCAACCAGCACAACCAAGGCAGTTGCAGTCCCATGATGAGGCCTGAATCCCGACTGGAAGGTATCCAAATGGTCTGCTTCTTCCAGGCGTGCCACCCGCTCAATCACCTTGCCCAAGAATGGAAGATTTGAGACTGGGCGATAGTTGGCCATCGTGGCCGCATCTAAAAATGTTTTTTTAAGAAGCGGTTTAATAACCGCCTCTTTCAGCGGGTCTGGGAAGGCTCCCTCACGGAGGGAAGCATTCACCACCCCACGAAGCCCATCGCCCAGCCCTTCCTGGCTAGCTTTTATAAGCCAGGATGGGCAAGGATCAAGGAGACAAGTGGTTGGTTTCACTCGTCCAAGCAGCCTGTCCACATCCTCGGAGGTAACAGATTGGAATTGATCCCACACAACTTGACTAGCACTCTCTAGCACTCTCCTGCCCCGGTCCTGATGCCACGGTGGAGTCTACCTCTTCTTGAATCTGAGCGACTTTATCTGCAAAACACTTTGCAAAATCATTGCAGGAGATCATGTGGCCTGTACTGGGCCCTGATGGAGCAGGTGGTTCTGCTAAATTGTGAACCACCTGAAAGAGTCTCCTGCTGCTGTTTTCCGCAGATGCAATAGAGGCGGTGAAGAAAGTCTTCTTCGCCGTCGTTATCGCCACTTGGTAGGCTCAACACTAAGCTCTAACCCATGTCTGGTCAGATTCAGAATGGGCTATCTGCCACCGGCACTCTAGCCATCTCAGCGATTGTTTCATTGCCCTCAGATCCGTGGAAAACCACAGGGCTGTCCGGGCTCCATGCAATCGGAGAGGGTGCTTCGGGGCCAAAGGGTCAATAGCCCTGGTTAACTCCACATTCCAGCGGGCCACCAGGGAATCAGCTGAAAGGCCATCAACATGGGATAAAACATCCCCTACCACTCTCTGGAAACCATTTGGATCCATTAAGTGGCAGGGGCGGACCATCCGAATCGGTCCCACCTCCCTGCAGAGGGGAAGGGTCGCGGAGAAGTCCAGTTGCACCAGCAAGTGATCTGACCATGGCATTTCTTTCGTTTCGCTTTTACTTAGTGTCAGATCACCAACATCCATAGAGGTAAACACCAGGTCCAAGGCATGTCCACGGCTATGGGTTGGGCCAGACTTATTCAGGGACAGCCCCATGGAGGCCATGCTTTCCACGAAGTCCCGAGCGGCCCCTTGTAAGGTCGTGTCGGCATGGATGTTAAAATCCCCTAGGACAACCAAACTAGGTGTCTCCAGGAGAACATCCACCATGACCTGGAGTAGCTCACGTAGGGAATCCTTGGTGCAGCGGGGAGGTCGGTACACCAGAAGGAATCCTGTACTGCCCCTATTGCCCAACTTCCAGAACATGCACTCAAAGAACTGGGTCTTCCCAATAAGACGCCTGGTGAAAACTAATGACTTCCTAAAAATCACTGCAACCCCCCCTCCCCGCCCACAAGGCCTGGGTTGCTGTGTGTAAGAGAAACCTAGTGGACAAGCAGCGGCAAGGACAGGCCCATCTGCTTCATCCAACCAAGCCTCTGTTACACATGCCAGGTCAAGTCCTCCATCCACTACCAAGTCATGGATCACAATGGTTTTTGGATCATTGACCTGGCATGAAGCACAGCAGCACCTTCAGGTCATGTGGGTATCCCTTGCTGATTCCAGTATCCGTCCGGTCAAGACCAGACCTGGAGGCAGGGATAGTCCTTAAACAATGACTAAGCCCACTTCCTCAGCAATGATGTGGTCTGGTCTTAGCGTAACTCCTCCTCCTACCCATGATCACTGAGATCGGTTGCCCCAGTACACCCCCCCCCCCGTGGAACTTGCCCCAGCCATTTTGTTTGCTGGGACCCACTCCCAGGCAGCCCTGACCCCTCCCCTTAAAATAAAATTAAAACCTATACAAAAAACAAACTAACAAAACAAAAAAACCAACAAAAAAAGAGAATTTTACAAACACACCATAATTAAATTAAATTAAACAAATTCCCGCACCCAACTAAACACCCACCCCACCCCCTCTTACGCACAGCAAATGAAAAAGCAATGTCATCAAATGATAGTAATGCAGCAGCAACCTTTCATAATCCTCAAACATCATTAATAGCACAGCATGATCTTGGAATGCAGCCTTTTCAAATCAATTGTTTCCTCACAGGAAAGGCAGCTGCTCTCTGTCCATGAAAAGGCCCTCTCTTTCTCTGGTCCATCGTTCCTTTGGACATTCCCCATCCTCTGCATCATAAAAACACTGAGGTCCAGCGCCGAGGGCCTTCTGGCGGTTCCCTCATTGTGAGAAATGAGGTTACAGGGAACCAGACAGAGGGCCTTCTCGGTAGTGGCACCCACCCTGTGGAACACCCTCCCTTCAGATGTGAAGGAAATAAGCAGCTATCTTATCTTTAAAAGACATCTGAAGGCAGCCCTGTTCAGGGAAGTTTTTAATATTTAACGCTGTACTGTTTTTAATATTTGATTGGGAGCCGCCCAGAGTGGCTGGAGAAACTCAGCCAGATGGGCGGGGTATAAATAATAAATTATTATTATTATATTATTATAATCCTCCATCCAGCCCTGTTTCCACCTCTAGATCTTCATGAGTCACCTTCACAGTCCCAATGGCCTCAAGAGGTCCAAGTGGACCATTTTGGGAGACCCAGGTCTAAGTCTCTTCCAGGGACTGTGGTCTGGGTCAGTCAGAGAACTAGTGACAAGGCTTGGTGCTTGGGGTCAGCTGAATGGGTGCTCAGGGAAGCTCCTGTTCTTGGAGATGGACCTCCGTCTACATGCCTTGCATTGCATGGAGAGAGCAGGAGAAGCAGAAGAAAAGCAGCTGGCAAATGGGAAACAGCCCATCCCAATTGTTCCTTATAATAATGATGTGCTGCCTGATCTCGTGCCCCTCTTCTGACACAGGACTACCCTAATCTGGCACTGACAAAGCTGGATATTCAAGGCAAAGGGATAACTGGACTTAATGTAAAGTTCAACCTTGTAACACTGTCCTAAAGGATCTTCACTCGCTCTCAGTGCATTTCCGAGCACAATTCAAACTGTTTGTGCTGATTTTTAAATTGTCATGGTTGCATCTTTCAGGCAAGAAAAGTATTGATCTAACATATAGAGATCATTCCTAGTCTGTTGGTTCAAGAAGGTTCTGATGGTTTTACTCTGTGTGATTCAAAGCTGATGTTTTCTCTAGCTGGAACATTTTAGCTGATAAGGGAGTTTCCTTTCTGCTGAGAGCAGGGGGTGGGATCAGTTGTAATGAGATTATGCTGAACCTTCCTTGTTTTGGGAACCAGAAGAAGCTGACTTAAATTGGAGTGAGCCAAGCTTGTTATCCAGTCCCAAGTTTACTCTGACACTGAATTGTTTATCAATTACAGTATTGAAAGGCGCCTGGTCCCACTTCCTATTCTGGTATTCTCTACTCTGCTTGTGTCTTTCTTACTTGAGTGCTGTTTTGGTATGCTATGTTTTACTGTAAATTCAGTTTTTGGATTGTTATGATTCTTTGCCTTCAGTACTAAATTTATCTGCTGAATGGTTTTTTTTTTGCTGCCTCTGAGTGTTTTTTCCTATTCTGCTAACTGTATGTCGGACTTGGAGATCATTATGGAGGAGCAAGATCTGCGACCTAAAGCCCTCAACCACCTTGGCCCTGTAGACCTGAAGGAGCGTCTCCACCCCCATCCTTCACTCTGAACACTGAGGTCCTCCTCTGAGGTCCTCCTGCTGGTCCCCTCTCTGTGATAAGTGAGGGTACAGGGAAGCAGGCAGAGGGCCTTCTCGGTGGTGGCGCCCACCCTGTGGAATGCCCTCCCTTCAGAGGACAAGGAAATGAACAACTACCTGACATTTGGAAGACAGCTGAAGGCAGCCTTGTGTCAGGAGGTTGATAATGTTTGATGTTT